AAGGTCAAAGCAGTTGTAATCTGCTCATCTACCCCAAAACCCATAGCCATCTTGGGAGGAGAGCCCTACCAACATATATATTCTCCTATATACATGATTTCCCCCCAGATCTTCTATGTATAATTTGTCATTTTTCAGTGTTTTGTGGAAGCATATTTATAAAAACAAGAGATGCCAAATTTATTAAATCAAGGCACATGACTAAATATAAGAATCAAGATGAAATTACTTTAAACTCATTTTCAAGTCAATACGGCTGTTATAAAATAATGTGCCTTCCAAAGAAAAATATACAAAAAACTACCATTGGAAGTTTCCTGAGCACAGATGGGAAATAAAGGATTTTTCCTCTGTGATTGCAAACATCCTGCAGTTATGTGGGCCCTTCCATGGAGTGCTCTTCTGAACAGCATCTGGATCCAGCTGTGCCCCAAAGAAAGCATCGCCACAGACTTCTTGGTCTCCCTCCTGTGTTTCTCTAGCTTCCCGTCTTAGAAGTAAAAGTTCACTTCAGAGCTTTATAAAAAGAGCACTCTCAGGTTTATTTGCTTTTTAACATCATTTAACTGCAACAGAAATTGGTTTGGCACTTTATAGGACCCTATACTCATGAAGTTAGACATTTAGGCATTGAAGACTCTTTTAAAAATACTTCCACAGATTAAATATATCTGAAATAACATCACGGTATAGGTGAAACAATGGACTATAATTTTGTGCTTCAGTAAGTGTTTTATGTTCTTGTTTTTAAAAAATTTCATTGACATAGTACTCACATTCATTGCTTTAAACATAAAATCTACCAAGAAGGTTCTCTATATTCTTTCCTTATTTCTTCATAATTGTGCTAATGTATTAGCTAGGGCAGATATATTTTAAATGGCATGTATATATTTAGCAGCTAATTATGCAAATTCTACCATGATTACGATTGTAAATATCCTTCAGGAGCATCACTTAGCATCTAGTCCTGAAAACATTTTTGGAAAATTCTGGTTAAAATGCTCAGAATTCACTTATTTTCTCAGTGAAGGTAGGACTCGGAGTTCTTATGCACCAGGCAGAATATTGCACATTGATAAAAAGTATGGATTCTTTAATGGACCTGAACATTACATGCCACTTCGAGGCTTTGTGACCTTGGGCAAGTTACTTAACTTCTCTGAGCTCAGTTCCCGCATTTGTAAAATTGAAATGATGATAGTACATACCGGTACTTCACTGAGTCATGATGATTATATCCCAAGATGTGTAGAAACTACTTAACACAGTGTTTGGCCCATAAAAGGCTTTCAGTAAAAGCTTGTTACCACCAGCACTCTTCTTCTTAAAATAGTAGTTTATAAAATAAATGTAGTGCCCAGCAGTACTACATTGCAGCTCAGTCACTAAGCTCTCTAGAAGAGTTCAGAACTACAGTTGAAGAGGAGGAAGTATGACTATCTGGGTAACTATAGGATGATAGGTGGGAGTGCTGATAGCAAAATTTCCAGACTCAAGACTTTTTACTAGAGAATCGTTCTATACACACTTATGTCATGTGCCTGGGTTAAGGATGCTTAGGTGTTTCAGTAATGCGGACTCTAAATGCTGACGTATGTGCGTGTGTGTGTATGTTTGTGTGCATGTGTGTGTGCGCATGTGCGCAGGTGTGTGTTGGCCTACAGGAAAAGGGAATCTAGCCTGCTCATGTATGTACAAGGACTCCAATTCCACCCTCTGAAGATAATCTGGTTAACAGGTGAGGAATCACCTCGGCCAGATGTGAGATAAAATTCTTCCTCTGTTATTTCACATTTCAGGGAATAAAAAAAAAAGTAAAATTATGTTCATAATTATAATCATATGTCAGAATATGGTAGCGATAATGACAGTATATTTTAGGTGAACATTATTCTTTTTTAGTCAATTTTTCTAATACTTGTTATTCTAGAAATAAGATCATTTAGATTTTCTAAAAAGGGTTTCTAACATATAAAACATAAATCCATCTACTTTTTCCGAGCTTTGGTAAAATAGAAACCTAAAGAGGAAGCAGAGGCCCTAAAAGAATTCTGATACTGCTGAAGGCTAAAATTCTTCATGACTTTGACCCAATATAGAGAAGACTCCACAGAGCAGAGAGTTCTTTTGTTCCCTCCCATAACTAGGTGCTGTAAAAAACTGGGCTCAGCCTGGCGGGCGTGTCTCAGGGGTTGAGCGTTGACCTATGAACCAGGAGGTCGTGGTTCAATTCCCAGTCAGGGCACATGCCCAGGTTGTGCGGACTCAATCCCCATTGTGGGTGTGTAGGAGGCAGCTGATCAATGATTCTCTTTCATCATTGATGTTTCTATCTCTCTCTCCCTCTCTCTTCCTCTCTGAAATAATAAAAATATAAAAATTAAAAAGAAAAACCTGGGTTCAGTGATGCTCATTAAGTTATAAACATGTGGTAAGTGCATGCTGGGAAAGAAGTCATACACTGTCATTGACCAAAACGTGCCTACAGCCCAGCAGGGTGGAAATAGCTTAATATGATCCACGGTGGAATCAAGCCCTCAATTCTCTTCGACCCACAAGATGAGTCAGCATGGGGGTGGGGGTGGTGGTGCCCGGGCAGGGATGGTGGGGAGGATGGATTCTAGCCCTCACATAGTATCCTGGAGATGAATGGTTTTTACTGTTTCCTTACTAAATTCTTACGATTCTAAGTCCTTCCCCTAAGTGACTAGTTTTTCCCACCAGCCCCTTACAGCCCACCCCAGAGGACGTGTCACCCTTTCTTCAAAGCACAGGGCACAAGCTTCTGAGCAACAAGGCACATCTTGGTAGATTTCCCTCTAGTTGTGACATTGGTCTATTCCAATAAGCCTCAGTATCCCCATACCCCTCAGCTGTCTGTGTTCCTTTCTTCGAGTGTTAGAATTTCACTTCCTACGGCCTTTGGAAAGGAGAGAATACAAATCATTTTCTAATCCTTAATTTTTCTTAGTCCTACCTAATCAAGCCAGTCACCACTGCTAGTATATTTTTTTACTCGTGTGAAAGCATAGACTTTGTTAGAGCATTAATGATTCCCAAACGACCATGTTCATTCCCTTTCCATCCTCCAGGAATCTTTCTGCTGTGACTGAACAGGTAAGGAGAGACAGCCCTTTCATGATAAAATTCTGCTAATGAGGACAGGGCTTTCTGATTTGTGTGTGAAAAAGTAAGATAGACAATTCATATTACATTCACAATTTTGGCCTTCTTTTTATAAGGTTATGTAATAGTAGTAAGTGATATTACCATTTTTAGTGAGGAACAGGTAACACTGGTTCTTATAAGGTACTGAATGATTAAATATGTAGATCTTATTTTTCATACATCTTCTGGATTTATATGACAACTAGTTTGGGATGCATTTTTTGACTAGATATTTTATGATTATAATTATTACGGTGATTTCCTTTAACCAATTCAGGCTAGAGAAATTCCCTCTATCACAGCGGTTCTCAACCTGTGGGTCGCAACCCCTTTGGGGGTCGAACGACCCTTTCACAGGGGTCGCCTAAGACCATCGGAAAACACATTTATAATTACATATTGTTTTTGTGATTAATCACTATGCCTTAATTATGTTCAATTTGTAACAATGAAAATACATCCTGCATATCAGATATTTACATTACGATTCATAACAGTAGCAAAATTACAGTTATGAAGTAGCAACGAAAATAATTTTATGGTTGGGGGTCACCACAAAATGAGGAACTGTATTAAAGGGTCGCAGCATTAGGAAGGTTGAGAACCACTGATCTAGTTCATCAGATTCTATCATGAAAAAGATAAAATGCCCTTAAGATCTAAGTGGCAGATCCTCATGTCATGGTGGACGCTAAACTCTATGAACCTCTCTGGGCCTCCATTTCCTCATCTGAAAATGGGGTCTAAAACCTACTACTCCCACAGAGTGATTGGTGGAATTTTATGTTACTACTAGAGGCCCGGTGCACGAATTTGGGCACAGGTGGGGTATGGCCACCTGCCCCAATGGGGGCTGATCGGGGCCAGGCCGGCCAGGGGGAGGGGCCACAGGTGGTTGGCCGGCCGGCCCTGCCCCCGATCAAAGTGGGAGACCAATTGGGGGCGGGGCCAGCCAGGGGAGGGGCCAAGGGAGGTTGGGGGAGCCTGATCGGCCAGTTGGCCACCACAGTGCGCATTCTGGTTGTTCCATCGTTCTGGTCGCTTGGCTTTTATATATATAGATGCAAATGCTCAGGGCAATGCCCGGCATGCAGTAAGAGCTATATCACTGATACAGTGTTAACAATAATGGCTAGTATATTTTACAGTTATCGGGAACAGTAATTACTGCTACGATCTGAGTGCCCAGTGCATGCCTGACATTCTGTATTGTTTATCTCATTTAATTTCCCCAGTAATCTTATAAGGTAGATACTACTAATCCGATTTTACAGAGGAAAAAAAGTTAACAGGAAGACAGGATGTCCTCGAAAGAAATCCAGTACTGGACCCTAAGTGCTTGGACAACCTGACTCGGTGATCTCAAGGAAGGATGCCGTGTATCCCAGCAATTAGGATACACTGCCACTAAGTAGCCCTCCCTGAGCCTCAGTCTCCCCATCTATAAAATGGAAATAACTATAATAAGGTTGGTGTGAAAACTAAATAAGCTCACGTATGTAAAACCAAGTGTGCATGTCAATAACTGAAGGGGGTTCTTAATAATGGCCATTAATTATTTGAGACTTATATTGAGGAGGATTCGCTGAGAACAAGGCACAAAATAGATGTAGGTAGAAAACAGATCCAACTGCAACAGGGAACTTTCCTATCAGAGAAAAATAAATCTGTAATAGTGTTAAATATCTGAAAGTCACAATACGCAGAAATACTTAAAAGGTTGTGGGTTTGAACTGGTCAGGGTTATTACGGGAAGCAGCTGGTGGATGTTTCTCTCCCATATTGATGTTTCTCTCTCCCCCGCTTCCTCTCTCTCTAAAAAAAAAAAAAATCTGGACGGGGAGGGAGGCATGGAGTGGGGCACGGGCGTGGAGGGCGGAGAATTTGGAATGGCGTGGGCTGGGTGCGCCGTGGACCCAGGTCGAGAGGCCGCAGGGCCATCTCCTCTTGCATAAACAAGTTCTCTCTGCATCTGAAAATAAAACAAGAAGTTAGAACATGTACTTTGATATTCACATTTTTTTAGAGAAGCCCCAGGGGACAGGGTGGCTTCCCTGATGTGGGAGGCTGCATGAGGGCCCTTGTCAGATGCCCACCCCTAATCCCTGGGCCCTGTAACTATGTCCCCTTACATGGCACAGACACTTTGCAGACGTCCCCCTTTAAGAATGTTGAGATGGGGAGACTGTCCTGGATCATCGGGTGGGCTGACGGCAACGACAAGGGTCCTTATATGTGACAGGGAAGCAGAAGGGTCAGAGGGGGGCAGGAGCAGCGTCAGAGACACTGGAAGATGGTACCAATGGCTTTAAAGGTAGAGGAGGGGCTAAAGAATGCAGGCGGCATCTAGAAGCTGGAAAAGGCAAGGGCATGGATTCTCCCCAGGAGCCCCCAGAGGGAGAGTGGCATGGCCAACACCTTGCTATTGGCCTGTGAAACCCACCTGAACTTCTGGTCGCCATAGCTGTGCAATAATACATTTGTGGTGATTTAAGCCACTAGGAAGCAGAAGGGTCAGAGGGGGGCAGGAGATGTGGTGCAGAAGCAGCGTCAGAGACACTGGAAGATGGTACCACTGGCTTTGAAGGTAGAGGAGGCGCTAAAGAATGCAGGAGGCGTCTAGAAGCTGGAAAAGGCAAGGGCATGGATTCTCCCCAGGAGCCCGCAGAGGGAGAGTGGCACGGGCAACACCTTGCTATTGGCCTGTGAAACCCACCTGGACTTCTGGCTGCCACAGCTGTGCAATAATACATTTGTGGTGATTTAAGCCACTAAATGTGGTATTTTGTTACAGCAGCCACAGGAACCAAATACACCTGATGTAGAACTCAATGCTGTCGGGTTTGGAGGGAAAATTGTGCAGTGGTTTAAAATTTGAGGTCATAGCTTCTTAGAGACACTTAATAAATGTGGTCCAATGTATCAAAAGTGCTAAAATTGTGTTTTCTAAAACTTGCTCCGGGCACATTTTCTAGTATCAGCCCTGGAAAACAGTAAGTATCTTTCCCATCTGGTGCAGTCGAGGGACGGGACCAGAGAGGAAAGGACGCGGCTAGGGAAAACCTGAAGGGAAGTTTCACGCTCACTCACCACCTCCTTACTTACTTGAGCCTAGGAGGTTGGGAGGAAATAATGATCCAGGGGATAAGGGTGCAACTGGAGGAGGGAGAGAAGATGGAAGGGAATCCCAGGCACATGGGAGAAGGAATCCTAACAGTGCATCCTCTGGGGCTGCCATGTGATGAAAAGAAGCCAACAGGAGTTGGCCACTGTAAGCCCGGTACTTCCTGCTCAGGCAGCAGGGACTTCTGGACTGTGTCGTTACCATCAGAGAGCAGGGACGCCCACAGGGTCTCCCATTAGCTCTCCTTTAGAAGAAACGATGATTAAAGAATCAACGACTCAAGAATCACAGATTCTTGGCAGACTGGTGGTTGCCAGAGGCAAGAGGTGAGGGGTGGGTAAAAGCGGTCTAAAGATATAAACGATATAAACTTGTAGTTATAATAACAAATACAATAAATAAGTCATGGACGTATAATGTACAGCACGGTAGCTATAGTTAATAATACTGTACTGTATATTTGCAAGTTGCTAAGAGAGTGATTTTAAAAGTTCTCATCACAAGAAAGAAAAATTGTAACTCTAATGAGCCGATGGATGTTAATTAGACTTACTGTGGTGATCCTTTCTCAATATTCATATATGTCCACCTGAAACTAATATAATGTTATATGCCAAATATATTTCAATAGGAAAAGGAATCAACTTAATGGGGAAAGGGAAAACTAATTTGCAATTACACTGCTGTGTTTAGCAAGGAGCAGAATAAGAAATACAAATTAATTCAGGATATGAAGATTTGATACTTTCTGTTTTCGTCAAAACCCAGGAGATTTTCCAAATGGACCTAAGGGAAGGGACAAACGGCCTTGGCACCTCCCAAGTCCACTCTTTAAGTTCTATTTGTGTTGTCACAGGAGCCCACATTCCTACCCAGGCTCCTGGGGATGTGACAGACAAGGAGGACATACATGACTGGGGGTGGGTGAGGCAGGGGGATGAGGAGAGAGGAGGTGGGCTCAAATAGATGAGAAGTAAGATGAGCAGCTGGAAGACCCATAGTGTGGGTGATGGGGAAAGAGAGAAGAAAAAGCAGAGGCAACAGAAGGTTGAAAATAAAGCAGAGCCCAGTACCTTGAATATATACCGATGCCTTATCTTACACATTCACTCATTTAGGAAATGGTATTTATCAAGCACTTGCTTGGAACCAGGCATTATTCTAGCATACAGCTCTCAGAAGCCCCCAGTTCCTACCCTTAAGAGAGCACTCTTGAGTATGGCTCTGAGAGGAGAATGCAGGGGTAGAACGGCAGGACTCCCCACCTTCCTTATTTTGTCTTTGGGAAGATCCAGCAGTGCAGAACCCCTGTCCCAGGAGTCTCACATATTATGAAAGATTTAATAATGGGAATGACCAATACAAAATGCAAGCGAGGTGAAAATATGTAGCAACCACAAGAAGCCTTTCAGGCTACCTTATCTGAGCACCATTGGCTTCACTTCTCAGCCCTCTTGGGGCGGGGAACTGTTTCTGGGGGCCCAGAGTATGCAGGTTCCTCAGTGGCAATTACAACTTTATTCCACGCCCTCCACCTCTCAACACACACACACAGTCCCACCAAAATAGGCCAGTTGGTTCCCCGCCTACACTGAACTTGGGATATCCTCAAGCTGTCCTCACCCCATTTTCCAGGCTGACGCTCAAGGTTGGGATTCAGAAATGTCAGCTCCACAAGGCCCAGCTGGTTTTCTCTCTGATCACTCACTTGACTCAGTTGCTCAAGAGCATTCCCAATTCTCATTCCAGAATGGCTAGACTAGCCACCTGACAGAAGTTTTGCAACAGAGCAACACGGATCCTCTATAAATACCTCTCCCATTCTACCTTTCACAAGTTACGGCTCAGTGAAAAGAAACTAACTACCAACTGAAAGCCTAAAGCCTTCCGGGGAGTCTGGTGGCAGTAACTCAGCAATTGAAGCTGCTTTACGGCCTAGAAACTATAACACATCCACTGATCATTTTGATGACTAATAAGCTGTAACAGCTGTTGAAATAAAGTCTTTAAACAAATTGGAAAATAAAAAAGAAGAAAGAAAGGTTTGGGTTAGTGGTGAGCAAAGCAGACCTTCACAGGTCATCAAATACAAGAAGGACTGGCTCAGCCAGCAGGGCGTGTCTGGCCAAATTCCTCACGCAATCAGACCACGAAACGCAATAATCAACCCAAATGAACGCAAAGATCAATTTATCACCTGGATTCAGACATGCCACTGTGTGGAAAGCGTAACAGTGCTCAAGAGGAATCAGGTGCAACAAATGGTAGGCACTATTATCCTTATTCTTAATTCCAAAAATTAAAGGGGGTTTCAGATGTCTAGACCCCACTCAAGATAAACAGAAATCATAACTACGTTAGTCACTGCTCCCTGTTCTTTCCCTCTTACCTGGCTTCATATTACATCTTGATTTGGGGGAGCCTGGCCCCAATTAATACCCATCAAACACTTCCCCCCTTTTTCTAGCAATAGAGTAAAAAGAGACATCAAGATTCTGAGGAGTACAGAACTGTCTAGAAGGATAAAGAATATTAATGAAAGAAAAATGTGAAATTAACTACTTCATGACAAGTTGAGTAAATTTCTCTTAAAACAACAGGGTGCCTGCATAGGTATTTTATTTATTTTTTTCTATATAGGTATTTTAAAAACATGTTGGGTAAGGTGAAAAGAAGTGGTTCTGAGGTACATCATACAACTAACTTTTAAAATAAAACATGCAACAATATCATTAGATGTTCTTGATGCCACTTGTAGATGAATTCAGAAAGAAATGTAATAGTTAACAACAATTCTAATACGCAGTGCATTCGTATTGGGAGTGCAGGTGATTGGTCAAAATATTTAACATCCAGTAGCAAGAACTGCATGGGTACCACGCAACCAAGAATGGGACTTCACCCAAGGAGGATGGACCCTGGCCACAAGCAATCAGTATCACGTGCCCAATGGTAATGCTGTGTATCACTCCTGCCATGTCCACTTCAAAATAACCTCGCCATCATCCAACCGGGCTCCTGGGAGAATCACAGTCCACCTGAGTTATGCTTAGTGCAGGTGAATACAGCATTCAGCTATGACAGAAGAGGTCATCGAAAGTTGAATGTCTCCATGACTTAGAGGTTGAAAGCCTTTGGCAGAATTCTTGCGTTGGTTTGCCAAGCTATGACTGACTTTCCAAGACGGAGTTCTAAAAAAGAACCCTGATAATTTCATCCTTGGCTCTACATAGAGCCCAAGGAGAGAATGACATGATGTTCCCATTATGTTGTGGGGAATGTTTTAAACTTACAACCAGAATGAACCCTTATAACTGGATAACTTGGGTTCATACACTAAAGGATATGGATCGACCAAAGGCAACTCACTCAGGATGAGGCAGAAGGTATGGATGGGGAGATGAGAAGAGAGAATCTTTTTCAAGTCTTCAGGGTGATCGTCCATGGAGACTACTGGCTATTCTGATAAAAAGTGGACTTTATAGACTCCAGAAGATACTGATAGTCTGAGTGAACTAGGATGATATCTAAGAGTCTATAATTCATAGTTTAAATAGTCCAAGCCTTTTATGTTGATCTCATGGAGATCTCTTCCAGAATCAGTAACATACCCAGTTTCGTTTTGTTTTCTGTTTTACTGGCAAATGAATAAAGAAATGGCATTAATACATACTGGGATTTTCCTGCACTAGTACTCAAAGTCAGTCCTTTCAGGAGAAAATTATATTAAACTTTAAGGTAAAATAAATAAGCAAAACACACACACAGAGCTACTATGCACCTTAATATACCTGAATCCCTTATTTCCCACCAATCTCTCTGATGCCACTAAACTACTCTGTCACCTCACTCCGCTTAGTAAGTTAAACGTATCTGGATATGTTATATCACTGACATTTTTGCCCCACAAGATTTCAACAGTAACGTCTTATGTGAGCTTTAAAGAATTTCATTTTTCATCAGGAAAGGGATGACCTACACACAAAAGTAAAGGTTCTCTTAACACCTTACCAGAATACAACACAGATATTCCTTTGCCTGCGCCTCAGCTCAGACAAAGAAAACGGTCGTTTCTTGCATACTGGCAATGGATGAACAAGGTGGTTCTCCATCACTCATCTCCTGTGCTGGGCATCGCCGCTCCCTCTCTCCATTACTGCCCAAACCACTGCTGTCTCGGGTTGAGTCCTTCCAGTTCTTGTAAACAGCATAGTTTCCTCCAGATCCCAGCACTGGGCCCGGCTCAGGCTGCTGTCCCTGACCACAGTTCCCTGCTCAATATGCTGTTTGGCCTGAACTTCCTAAAGACCAGGAAAAAATCTGGGGCAGTATCAAATGAATTGCTTAAAGTTTGAGTTAGAAACCCTAACATATATCTAAATTGTATTTCCCCCCAATACTGTAAGTTAACTCAAATATTACTCATTGAGAAATTTTTTGAATGTAAGATAAGAGGGGGCAACATCTTACAATTATTTCTGGGGGAAAAATAATGTAGTCTAAAAAATGTTTATTTCCAATCATTTTGGGAACTGTCTCATGTAATCATGTCTTTGTGGAGTATTTAAAATACATATATTGTTTGCAGAAAGGGAATATTATGTACAGTTTATTTTACTTCAAGCTCCACCATTTCAAGTCTAGAATTTGTAAACATCCCACTCAGTCAGACTACACAATGAAGTAACCGGGCAAAACTGAAGAGGATTCTTAGGAGACTTTCACCGACAAAGAATTAAAGCCACTTACTTTTTCTTAAGCCAATCACCTGTATAACTAACGCCGTGAGAAATCGCATTGGCTCAGCTCCCAATTACACGATTCCTTTGTTTGCTGCCTTCATCTAAATCCTCAGTTCCACACTTGGATATGTTAGAGTTTTCTCTTCAGAGAAGAAATCCCAAAGGACACAGATCCTGAAACGTCCCCCAGCTTGTGTTCCCAACCAGTAAAGACCATCTCGTCTGCTCAGTCTTCTGAAAGAAGCTGCCCCGGGCATGGATGAAAAGTCCTCCTCCCCAGGATAAGCCAGTGTCTCCTCCCCTTGGAAATCAGTCACTAAATAACCTCAGCCCACATCCAACCACCGGCTCCGGCTGGGTGAGTCAGTCCTTTAACAACTGCTTACACGGAAAACACACACCAACCAATGAACTCCGGGAGGCCCAGGTAAATGGGTTAACAATGGGGGAAACATTACAAAATAGATTTACTAAAGCAAACACGATAATTCAGACCAGCAAACAGGCAGCCAGCACCAACGGAAACCATCCGAGAACCCACGGGCTGATTACCCAGGGGACCAGCTCTCAGGTCAGCGCTCCGTGGAGGGCGGGAGCTGCTAGGAAACCTGGGTGGACCCGCACCCCACACCTGCGCTGCTGCCAAGACTTTTGAAGTCTCTGGATTGGCAACGGAAGGAAACGTGAGCCAATTCCCCTGGTTTATAACACCGGAGGGAAAACATGAGGGAGGAGGCTGTCTGTGTATTCATTAACCAGCCTCGCTCACCAGGCTGAACTTTGGGTAACAGCCATTAATCAGTCCTGTGCAGTGCCAGGCGGGGAACATACCTGAGAGGAGAGGAAAAGATAGACGGGGCCAGCCAACGCTTGAGCAACGAGGGGATTCAAGAGAGGAAACCAGATAAGGTTTCCTTAGCGGGATGGAGGCCGGGGTAGTCCTCGAGGCCTCCGCCGTCTAGCTATTCCCTCCAGGTGAACAGGCGCAGGGACGTGCGCTCCCAGCAAGAAGGGACTTGTGCGGCGCGCAGGGCGCACAGGCATGAACACATTGCTAGGAAACGCTGAGGGAGAAGGAAGGCATGTACTTCCTTAGCTCACAGGTAGGCTCTGCTAGTCTGCCAGCTGGCTGAGCCCTGGGGGCTGGTGCGAGGGAAAGCTCCCCGAGTGGGAACCCAGCAGAGTCCCTGCGAAGGCCGTGGCCTCAGGCCACCCCCCATGACCACACTCTGGGCAGCCTGCGCATTTTTCAAACATTTCCCGGCGTTTAGAGGTTGTCCTCGCTGACCGAAAGAATTCCATGACATCTCTCAAGTTCATTTTCATCAGCACCGCAGGCTTTCTCAAAACCCTGTTTACTGCCACCGAGACGCTCTGTGGTTATTAAAGGGGGGAGAGGACGGAGCACATGACACGGCCACCCTCCTAAGATGTCTCATTAGAAACAATATTTGGATGGAGTGGTTGTAACCGATGCCACCTAAGAGGTCGGAAAAGAGAAGGAGGAATGTGAAAACCCTTGTTTTGATTTTTAATCTAATCAGCAGGCGCTTGTTATTTCTCGGCGGAGTATGGGAAGCGCGCTATCAGCCCCGGCCGCATCTGGTGTACATTTGCAGGTTTCGTTTCCTCAGTCCAACCTGAGCTTTCCAGGAAGGGGGAGGCGGGGGCCGCTCTCCCCTGTCTGTCTGATTAAGCCATGAATCCACCGCCGGCACATCCCTACAGACCCTGCGTTTGGCATACAGCGCACAAGACATTCTAGCCGTCAGGCTCTTGCAGTCATTGACCCGCTGTTTCTACGTGCAGGGCTGCTTGTGCGAGGGAACAAAAGCGAGGAGTCCGGGTCACGGCCCCTCCCCACGAAACAGAAGCACTCAGCTCGCCCTGTCGTTGTTCGGCTAAGTGACTCACGCCACGCTCCACACATTAGCCCGTGTCAGCTATTTTAGAGACAGGTGGCTTCTGTCAGCCCCGTTACCACCAGAGTCCGTGGGCGCAAGGTGAGAGACTGTCTGGCTCACCTCTCCCACCGCCTCCTTCCTTTCAGGTCCAGAACGCTCTCACTTGCAAAGTGCTCCCGGGCACGGCCTGCGGAGCACACCCTGGCTCCGTCATTAGCAGAGCAGTAACTCACTGTCAGGGGTTGAAAGCTCGCCCAAGCCTGCGGTGAATCAGGATGAGTTAAATGCTCTCTAGTGAGAAGCACGCAGCTCACCCGGAGGAGGAGGAGTTCCATATCCTGAGCGCTGCCCAAGGAGCCAGGAGAGCTGATCTAAGCAAATCCTGGCTCACACGGACCCGGCTCAACGAGGGGCGTGCGCACTCCAGCAAAGGGGTCTCTCAGGCTAAGTCACCACAACCCACCGCGAACGCCCCCCACGCTGGCCCTCACTTCACCTGACCCTCCTCTGCAGGCCCATCCTAGGGACGCTGCCGCCTCTGTGAACCTGCTCTCCCAGCCGAGTTCAGGGTCCTACTCCTCAGCCACCCACTTCCTTTCACTGACCGGCACTTTAGCAACGTGGAAGCAACGCAGTTCTTTTGAGTTACTATTAAGGAGGGAGAGGCTGGTTAATTCAGCATGACCTCAACAAGAAACACTTTTTTAGGCTCTGGAAAGGCTAAGAGTCTTGAGAAATTATTTCCCTTCCTTATTCATTTCTTGATTGCCTTTAGCAAAATTACATATGTTAAAGGAATATCTAAAATGTACTTATCAACATTAAGACCATATTATGAAGGGAAGTGATCGTGATGTTAAAAAATGTCAAATTCATCTTGCTTACACTGTTAAAACTGGGAAGACGGTCATTTGTGAGGTACTAGTGAACCTTTTAATATTGCATTTGATCATAAATGGAATGTCTCCCAGACATGAGACAGACTGTTGCCAAAATTATTTAATTCTCAGGGAAGAAATGGTCCAGTCAGTGGTTAGCTTATGGCTATATTTAAGATAAGCGTATTTCCACAAATATTTTGACACAGGGAACTCCGCTGAGCCCTCCAGTACTGGCCCTGGCTGCCTTAGCATTGTGTCCAGTGGTGATTCAAGACCTGTCTGGCACAGAGGAAAGTAATGTTAAATAAATCATTTAACTTCCAAGGCATGACTGTAAGTGTGTCAAGCTGCAGGACAGATAAAAGAGAAATGTTCTTCCCTCACTGATACTCGATCTTCTGTTGGGACACTCCTGTATTATCCAGGCCAAGGACAACTTCCTTTTGTACCTAAAATAGTTACAGTTTGTAAAATGATATCTTCTTTCTATCACTTGCAACAGATGGTGCAAACAGCGCCTTCTCATTAGTTACCTCCATTTCTGCACATCATCCATTTCCTGGATGGACACTGTCTTTTATACACAGGAATCCCCTTCGGTGTTTCCAGACTTGTTGCTAGTAGCAAGTCACCTCTGTCACCCAAATATTACTTTCAGTTCCTTAGGCTGTGTCTTTCTTTTTATGACAGTTCTCTAAACTCCTGTTTAACTTGGTAACATACATTCTGCAATATATTTATTTATTTATAACATTCCTTATTCTACAAAGGATGTATTTGGACACACACACACACACACACACACACACACACACACACGATATTCATCTAGCAGTTTGCAGCTTACCCAGTGCTTTCAATTGTGATTTCATTTCATGGGCCTCAGAAATACCCATCTGATGGGTAGGAAATGGAAGTGCAATGAGTTGAGAACCAGAATCAACTCCCCATTGCTGGTAAGGAGTGAAGCAGCCAGAATGCCCTTCTTCAGCCAGGCACTGGGCCACTGCTTCCTTCGAGTTCAAGTGTAAAATCGCAGGTGTGTCCTCCAGGACTCTGGTTGCTGCTCTTGGAGGAACTGTGTCCCCAAGGCCTTCCCTACTGGGATTACTGAGGGTTTGTTTGAGTTCTGACCTTCTGTGTGCAGCGTGGAGAACTCTGTTGGAGAATTACTTCATTTACTTCACTTACAGGTTGAAGTTTTCTCAGCAAAGGAAAGAATAACTGGGACATACCAGTGGGCTTAGGAGCCAATTACCCAGATACTCTCTTGACTTACTAGGAGGTTTTATCTTCCTGCCTCAAAATTAGTTATATTAATTATATAATTAATTATATATTGTATGTACCTAATATACATATTA